GAGCAGATTAGCTACAACTCAGGTTGAACGTCCAAAAAGAGGAAAAAAAATAAAAGTGGCACCGGGAAAGTCTATAAAGATTTTGAAGAAAGCTGTGACAACTCCGAACCTGAATATATGGACCTATCGGATGGTGGCGTGAACAAGAAGCAGCCAAAAATCCCAGCGATGAGGAATTAAGAGAAGAGGGAAATTTCAGTGGAGAACCCGAAGCTGATCTACATAATCAGATCAATTTAGATTGTATTCAACCCGGCAATTTTTTGTTAGCGAAGTTTGCCTGTCCAAATAATACATTCAAATACTTTGTTGACTGAGTCTCTGACGTTGTAGACGCTAATGAAAAACTTTATTATGTAAATTTCTTAAGAAAGCAAAATTCCGAAAAAATGGGTGATTATTTTGTATACCCTAATATTAAAGACCAAAGCTTGGTAGAGTCTCATCAAATTTTGAAGGTTTTAAGTATAAGATTTAAGACGTGCGCGTTTTCAATTTTCCAGCTTGCAAACACTTAAAAATATTAAAATTGAATAATGCAGAAATTTATCAAAAAATATTTTATTGAAATTTTGTATTCAGTAAGTTTTTTATTCATAGGTTTCTTTTACTAAAATAGGAAAATGATAAATTTAGTTAGGTGCAGTCTGTTAACTTTTAGATTTATTATGTGTTTGCTTTTTAAGTTTATTCCTTAGATAAAAGTTTGCGATTAAAAAACATGAAACATAAATTGTTTTTTTTGAGTTTTGTAACTTTGCCAGAATTAAATTTATATAATTTTTATTTTTTTATGTCCGAGTGTTCCCACAAAGCGACAAAATGCATTTTTGCCTAAAAATAATTGGGTGTCCGGCTTTACCCCACACATAGCGGTAAAGCGGGACACCCTTCAACATAAAAAAGGAAAGGGAGGACATTTTTGGATTTTTTTTGAGAATCTTGTTTGGCATCATTTGAGGTATGTTAATTATTTTTTTAAATTTTCTATGTGATCACAAAAAGTTATTAAAAAAAAAAATATGCAAAAAACGTCCGACTTTACCCCAGATGACGGTACTTAGCTTCACAGCCGGATGGCGCCTCAATCGCAAGAGAAATTTACTATCGAGAAGGACAGTCTCGTAGACGGCCACTGCCAACATTTCAGTCGAATTTGTTTTGACCGCGTGTGAAAGCAGGCGTGTCTGCGGATTTAAAAAAATGGAAAAAGAGCAATATCAGTCGTTGATTCGATTATTGCTTTTGAAACGGAAATCGCGCAGCGAAATTAAAGAGCGCTTTTATGTTGTGTACTGTGAGTCTTCTATTTCGATGGCGATCGTTAAAAATTGGTCTAACGAAATTCAACGTGGTCATACGACGGATTTTGATTGGTCTCCCCCAGGTGCCCGAAAACGGCCACCACGGAGGATAACGAGACAATAATCCACGGTTTCGTATTCGCAGAACGCATCTCAAAACACCACGTGGGTCACATCCTTCATGAAGTATTGGGCATAAGAAAGCTGTCTGCGCGATGGGTGCAGCGTTTGCTTACTCTGGACACTACCCGAGTTTCTGGGTCGTTTCGTGATCATCGACGGACCATGGATCCACTGGTACACACCAGATACCAAGGATAAGTCGAAACTGCTGAGTGAAAATAAAAAAAAATCACTACACCGAACTTTGTTTTTTTAAGGCTTTTGTTTCTGATGTTTATTGAATGAATAATCCTTGTCAACATTTATAAATAACCCCAGATATTGTTTTCTATGTTTTCAGCTTCATAATCACTTTGGGGCATAACCTATACATTTTTTGTGTCAAATTTTGCAATCAGGGTATGCTTGTATTCACGAATGATGCTCAGAATTTGCGTAAGCAGTGATATAAGGTAAGCACTAGCCAAATCGGCTGAAGCACTCTACTGGAGAAGTGGAATGGAACTTGATGATGTGGATTTTGAGGATGCTGGTAGAAATGGAGGTAATTCTAGAAAATTTGTCTGGACTTTGATACCCACCAAAGAAGGGAGCGATCGTACCGACCAGTTTTTGGTCCCCAGGCCGCGACGGTATTAGAATGATTAGCAAGGCTTGAGTTTATGGAAAGGCTATGGAAATAGAATAATCGACATCTAAAAAATTGAAATAACCTATAGTATGTGGTTTAACGGTTAGCTAGTTACCCATATTATTGAAAAATGTTCAGCTCGGTTTAAGTCTAAGCTTATACGAACACAAAAAGAAATAAAATTACTATTCCATGGTCATTTTATTCTGTGCATCTATGCAATATAATTGACAATAAATTGCTACTTGTATTTTTACTATTAATAGTTTGCTGGTTGTTGATCGACACTTCCTAAGTCAATAACCTTTTATATATTTGCAAAAATGTCTGATCGTTTATTGTCGTTAACAGTTCCATTGCATTGATCTAATATCTATATTTTTCAATAATTTTTGGTGCGGTTTATTGTAGTGCATCGTCATTCATGAGAAATCAGTAGTTCAGTTAAAGAAATGAAGTAATTAACTATGCACTTTGGCCAACAAAGATCCTTTAAAAAATATTACTTAAAACATATCGGATGGCTGCTTCCGAACTCAGATAATTCAAGTCTTTTGCTTTGATTGCTTTCACTTGTTTAAGCTTTCCCGGGCCGCTATGAACATCATAGATTCAAAATTCAGAAAGAAGTAGTGAAAGAAATAGTGGTGATATATATATTCTTAAACTCATTTCCCTCAAGATAATAACAGTTGTTTTTGAAATTCCTCAGAAACTTTAGGAACCAAGAGGACGATGTAGACGCTAAAGGACATATGGTAAATGACACTAGCAAGTTTTGCAGAGTAAGATAGTTAATTTCGACACACCCGCTTACATCTGGAGTGAAAAATCTTCAAAATACCGTATTTTACACTGATATTTCTAAGCATTTCTGTAGTGCGAATCGCCTATAATCATTTCTCTATTTCACTTAATCATGCCGGTTTTCTTCATTGCAAAATGTCGGCCTTGAAGGTATCTTTCGATTTGCCAATTGAAAATGACCATCTGTTTAATATATGACTTTGTGTTGAATGAAACAGCTAAGGCAGTTTTTTTTTATATTCCAACTACCGGACGTATACAAATAATCTCTCGAGAATAGTTATATACCAATCTAACAAATCCAGCATAGCGATAAACTTGTTTCGCGTCTAACGGATAGTTGCTAGCTCCTTATAATAACATAATATTATGATTTGCTTTTTCTAAAAGTGAGTCCTTATTCTTCCATCCGCACATTTTAAGCGTTTTGACAGTCTCCATTTCTCAATTTCGTAAGTTTCTGTGGATATTTATAAAATTTTGAATAAATTGTAGTTTTTAAAGTTTACGTCCGTTGTACGCAACTGATTAACTTCAAATAATGCTTTTATATCCCTTCTACTAAATTAACAAGAAGATGGCAAGTGCTTCCGCCAAAATACTTGATATTTTATAGACCAAACCCAAAGATTGCCACATTTTTAAATTGGCTATAGCCCTCCAAACGTTCTCCACGGTGGCGTGTTACCCTTCTACGACTATCGTGCGTACCTAGACAGAATCGTGATTCGTCGCTGAATATGACATTATGCCATTCTGCCTGCCAATGTTGCCGCTCTCCGCTCTAGTTCAAACGTTGACAACAGTGGTCCGTAGTCAAAGGAAGCACTAACCGTAGACGATATGAAAAAAGTCCAAAGGTCGAATGCGGCGATAGAGTGTACACATAGTGTACACCTTCTTCTCTAAACCATTGGTCAGCGATCTGACGCGTAGTAGCAAAACGGTCTTTTAGGGCTGAAGTGTCTATCTTGACGCTCTGGGGTACGCCTCGGTGGACCAGTTGGCCTTCTTCGTGTTCATCTGCCTTCTTCTATCCACACACGGTACACTCGTATTACCGTCATTGCAATACAATTAACACGGCGGCCAATTTCGCGATAGGACACACCAACATAAAGATATTCAATAATTCGAACCATGTCAAAGTCGCTAACATCATGATAATTTGGACGTCTTCGAGCTTGTTTGTTTTGTTATGGTTAATGAAAGGGCATAACTAAAAATATCTGTCCTACTCAGCTCTCAGAAACTGCTCCCTTCACAAAAACTAAGAGATAACATTTTAACAAAGGTAAACAAAAACAAAGATAAAACGTTGCCACAGGATGCTTTAAATCAGGGTTTCCCAAACTTTTTTAGTTGGGGCTCCCCTGACTATAAATTATATTTTCATGCCCCTCTTTACTTTTTAATAAATACACAAAAAACTTACATCATATAGGTACAGAGACTTTTATTTTAATTCTATTAAAGAAACTTTAAGAGTTTAAATAAACTAATAAATGTTTTTTATCAAAAAACTTGAATAGCATAAGAGTAGGTACTAATGAAGCACTTGAGATTGCATATTCTGCACGAGTTGGTTGATTCCAGGTTCTGTTAAAACTAGAACAGAAAAGTGTGTTTCACATAAGTAAGTCGAAGAAAAGGGAACTAGTATTAGTAAAGCAAGAGAGGCAAGTGGCGAACTAACAGGCAATATTTTGATCCAAAATTTGTCTATTGTTAAAAGATGGAAGTCATTTTCATGGACAAATCAGCCTTCATTTCTAGAAATTCTTCCTGAACTTCTTCTGGTAATTGTGACACATCGACAACAAATGGATTTCTTGTCATGTGCCATATTAGTGACTCTGAATTGATGTCTCGATAGTATCGGAGAAATGCGTCTTCCAGCGCTTGCATATGAGTTTTTATGTCAGCTTTTAAATTTGTCTCCAGTGTGTTGAAGCTTTGATATGAACCCCTGAATATAATCGTAATTGCTTAGTATAGTGTTGTTTCTGCCCTGAAGTTTCAAGTTTCGCACATTCAGGGAGTCAAATATGTTAGTTAAATAAGCCAACCTCCATTGAAATGTGTCATCTTTGAACATTGTCAAGAAATCGTGTTTTTCTTTGAAAAAAAATTACCTCTTTCAATTCATAAAGGCGAGCCAAAATGTTGCCTTTGGACAGCCAGCATACTTCTGTATGGAACAAAAGAAATTTGTGATCAGATTCGAGATCTTCGCAAAGTATAGTAAATAACCAACTATTCAAAGCACTGCTCTTGATGTAGTTTACAGTCCTTATAGCCGAGTCCAAAGTCTGGCGTAATTTCTGTGCCTATGTTTTGAAAGCCAAAGCTTGCCGGTGAATAACACAATATGTAGGGTAATTCCGGGAGAGATGGCGCACCGGATGAGATGGCGCAGCGCTATATTTGGCAACATGTTTAACATCAAGACACGACATGTTAGTTATGTTATAAACACTCCTAGAAATAAGTAATGTACGGCGGAAAAAGTGGTTTCTCACGATAATTGGAGTGGCGGAAGCAAGAAAACTAATCGTGAATTTGCAAAATTTTGCATCACGGTACGATCAACAAGAGACTGGTAAGTTATTCCATGATTAAATTCATTTTTAGTGACATAATATTGCTACAGCCGCTTGTAGGAGTGATTCTAACCTAGCACGAAGATTTTTAGTCGTTGCCAGTTTTAGTAATTAAGTGAGCCATCTCACCCGGCATTTTTGGGTGAGACGGTGCACTAAACTGCGGGTGAGTTGGAGCTTTGAATACCTATATATTTTTTTATTCCAGTACCATGCCGACGAAATACAATAGGCGTAGTACGTCTTTACGTGGACAATGGACCAAGGAACAGTTACTGCTAGCCATTGCTGCTGTGAATAATAACTCCATGGGTGTAAATGAAGCTGCAAGACATTTTAATGTTCCAGCAACCACTTTAAGAAGACGAAAGAAATCTGGTAATCTGGTAGTGGGACCTCAGGGGCCGTCAGCATGTCTAGGCATACAAAATGAAAATAAGATTGTGACACACATAAAAAAGCTACAAGCACATGGGTTTGCTCCTACTCGAGAAGACGTCCGTGTTATGGCCTTTAAGTTGGCTGAACAGTTGCAAATAAAGCACCGCTTCAATCATGAATCTGGAAAAGCAGGGTATGACTGGTTACATTCATTCTTATCGCGTCATCCGGGTTTGTCAGTTCGAAAGTCCGAAGGAGTGTCTCTTGCGCGCGCTCAAGGAATGAGACGCAAAGAGGTTGCTGACTACTTTAAGCTTTTGGAAAGAGTCCTTGCAGAAAATCAACTCTTTGAAAAGCATAGCCACATCTTCAACGTGGACGAGACTGGAATGCAATTGAATAACAAACCCGGATTCGTTGTTGCTGCCAAAGGTTCTAAGAATGTAGCTAGCATCACCGCTGCGGAAAAGGGAGAGACCATTACTGTTATTTCATGTTTTAGTGCGGAAGGTGTATATATTCCCCCTACCTGCATTATGAAGGGCAAAAATAAGAAAGCTGAGTATGAAGACGGTCTGCCACCGGGGTCAAAAGTCTACATGAATGAAAAATCCGCCTACATCAATAGTGCTCTCTTTTACCTTTGGCTAAAAGAACAATTCCTACCAAGGAAACCAGTTGGGACGGTTATTCTTTTGCTGGATGGACATGGATCACATTGTAACAACATTGAAATGCTCGAGTTTGCCAGCAGTAACAATATCATCCTTGTATGCCTACCCAGTCATACGACACAATTTCTGCAACCGTTGGATAGGGGGTTTTTTAAGTCATTAAAAATGAACTATTACAGAGCGTGCAATCTTTATATAAAAAATAACCCTACAAGAAGGTTGACACGGCTTCAGTTTGGAGAACTTCTTGCGTCGGCGTGGGTCAAGTCTGCCACAGTAAGTAATGCTGTGGCAGCCTTTAAGGCAACAGGTATCGTACCATTTAATCCTGAAGCAATTCCGGATGAAGCATTTTTGTCGGAGACCACAGATGTTCAGGATAATGTTAATAATTGCAATAATAACGAACAAGAGATAACAACTCAAGCAAGTATTCTGGATCACCCTCAACCAGGATGTTCAAAGGACAGTCTTCCCCCACCAGAAAGCCCTCCTAAAAATAACCTGACGCCTGGCAAAATGTTAAATAATATTTCTCCCATACCGTGTACTAGTACACCTGTTCAGCAAGTTAGAAAACGCAGCAAACAAGTGGCGTCAATACTCAACTCCGCTGAAAGTATTACAAACAAAAAATCTAAGCAGGAAAAACATCCAAGGAAAATTGTAACAAGGAAAGTGGAAAATAAAAATGAGAAAACACAAAAGGGTAGTAGGCGCCGTCGAAAATTAAATTTGGTTGAAAACACTTCTTCAGAATCAGAAGCGGATGTGTCTTTACATGATTCTTCTTCAGAAGGCTCAGAAGATGAGTGCTGTAGAGGTTGTAATGAGGCATATGCCACAACAAAAAAGCCTGATGATTGGCTAAAATGTATCCGATGTTTGTCTTGGTACCACGAAACATGTTCACGTTATAGTGAGTTATGCAACGGGTGTGCAAAAGCAGTTTTGAATAACGAATTCAATGCCAAGAAGTAAATATTTTATCTTACTATGTGTACGCCATCTCACCCGAAATAGCTGCGCCATCTCAACCGCATCTTCCGGGTTAGATGGATTTTTGTATAATGTCCTTAGAGCTAGCTTTTTATGTTTCTGTATACTTCCTAATTTGAATAATGTGTTTGATATTTGTTGCTTGATAACCAAAGAATAAAAGTTTAAGTTTTGAGTATGATTTGGTCTTTCTTTCGATTTATACAGCTGTTAAAGAAAAAGGTGCGCCATCACTCCCCGAATTACCCTACTAACCATTGCGGAATCTTTTTACTTGAGCTTTTTAGCTAAGCCCAATAGTACACCTATCATAACAAAATTTGACATTGAATTAAATACCTATATCTTCAGATGTAGTACCTGTTGTCAAAGATTGGGAGTACAAAATCTCTTCTTGACTGATATCTCCGCCGATGTAACGAACATAAACTATTAACGATGTCGGTGGAGTCATCACAACTAATGGCAGAAAATAGCGATAATTTTACTTTGTTAATTATTTGTGACTTTATGTCTGCTGCAATGTCATCGACTCTACGCTTGACGGTGTTATTCGAAAGAGAAATAGACTTCATTTTTTAGCTGTGCATCTTCTGCTAAAATTACCTGCGTGGCTTTTAGGCACATGATTTTATTAATTCTTCACCGATAGTATGATGTCCCTTTTGCTTTGCTATCATAAAAGCTATTTCAAATGAAGCTGTGTGATAACTTTCAGTCTCAAGGAAAAAACTCTTTCGTCTTCAAAAGTAGAGTTGGATGTGGTTGCTTCAAATGCCTTCCAAGGCGATTGGGCCTCATGCTATCATTACTTAAAACTTTCATACATCACACACTGAGACAATGAAGGTAAATCCAAACTTAACGTAATCTTCGGAAAACTTTTTTTTTTGCTGCCATTTTGCACCTATAACAATAAAACAAATAAGTAATAAATAAATAAGCAAAATACCTACATGTAATTACTAATTATATGCCTATTATTTTATCTTAATAACGTAATGTATTCAACAGTATATTGGCCACCGGGAGATTCATATTTTTGTAGGCAGGTTGACGTTATAATAATAATAATTTTAAATTCATTTGGAATCAATATTAGGTACCTAAGGTTCGTCGTTTCAAAATTATTTCGCTACGTTGGTTTGATTGTGATGTGGTAAAACAGTTCCAATGGCCGATCTATGAACGTGTCTCCACTCAATCAACAATTTAGTAAATTAAATAAAAATGGTAACTGAAGTTTGTAAAAACACAAACTTACCTTTTAACAGCGAGGCAAAATAATTTAACATACTTAAACAGATTTCTCAATAAAACCTTCACATCGAAACGTCAAATTTTTGCAAGTTTGTGGGAATAAATGTCACAGATGCTCAGCCGCGTCTCGTAAGTACACAATTGTTTTCTAAGTGATGAATGTTAAGCGGAGCGTGGCGGGGGTGCGCGCGGATTTCATGTTGTGACTTGTATAAACTGCGAATTGACCACTCCGGGTTTTGAAACAGCGGTAGACAGAATAAGTGAATATGATATTTAATTTCTAATTTTATGCATGTAAATTAAATATTACATTCTAATGTTATTTGTTAATGTTGTTTGTTTATTTTTTTTCTTTCTAAAATGCAAATGCTTTCCGCCTCCCTTGTCATCTCACTATGCCCCCTTGGGAGCGCGCCCCCCGGGTTGGGAACTCCTGCTTTGAATAGTCATTATGTTGCTAAAAAACAAGTTGAAGAAATTATTTTTTCTGGGTGTAACACTTCTAATGTCACTGAGCATACTTCGATAATATCCGTATTTACTTGATATTACCTTGATAATAGAAACAAGGCTATACGGTGAACGTATGTTCGGTCATTTTCTTCAGCATTGCTTAAACAATATGAAAAAAGTGATTCTAATTACTACTGTTACTTTTAGTTTTTTTCTTATTATCCACTATGGCAGAAATTAATCTCAACAGAAACAGAAATGCTAGTTCATCTCTCGAGAAACAGACAAGAAGCTTTTGATGGTGATGAAATATTAATAATATATTAACGACGTATTTTAATGCAATTTTAAACTTAAGGGTCCCCTATGCCTTAGTGCTTTTTTCTTGAGCGAAAAGTGGAAAAACTTGTTCAAACGAAAATTTTGGTCCCAAAGCTGTGACGTAATAAGTTATATAACTATTCACCCTAGAAATTGCTATTATTTACTACACACCTATAAGAAGAAGTGACTTTTCTCTCCCAGATAAATAGTGATAGTGAAAAAAAAAAGCCTAGGAAAATAATGAGTTTGCGTTCATGTAGTGCTTCTTTGGCTTGTTCGGCAAAAAACTGCTACTGTTACTAAATAGATTATCGTTATTTACTTCCTATGCCACTGAGTGAGGAAGTATTATAATCGCAGAAAAGGTAACTATACTAAGTGACATAAATCCGAACACCCAGTTTAGATGGTTTTATTTTAATAAAATTTTGTATAAGTACTTAATGAAGCATAATAAGTAAATGTTAAAAATTTCAAAATGATTGCACTGCTTTAAAGCCCTTTGACCTTTAATAATGTGTGGATGCACCCTGATGTGCTACGCATTCTCCAACGCGCCTAGGCATGCTTCTGATCAGGTGGTCAATGTCCTCCTGTAGTATCTCACTCCAGGCAACCACCAACTCCTCTCGAAGTGCTTCTAGAGACTGAGGAGGACGTTGCAAATTGAGCAATCTCCTACCCATCATATCCCACACGTGCTCAATTGGGGATAAGTCGGGCGATCTTGGTGGTCATGGTAACAATGTGACATCATTATGTTGAAAGAAGTCTATTGTGACTCTTGCAACATGTGGTCGGGCATTATCTTGTTGGAAAGTTGGATCTGCCAGGGTGTCAAGATAGGGTAAAAGATGGGGTTCTAGAACTTCGTGTATATAACGCTGCGCGTTCATGTTACCTCTGATCAAGATTAAAGGTGACCTGGAACCATAAGCTATAGCACCCCAAACCATAACTCCAACAGTGTGATGAACATGTCTTTCAACAAAAAACTGCGGATTCCTCCTTTCACCACGTCGCCCTCTAACCCTGGCACGACCATCGTGCATGCCTAAACAAAATGGAGACTCGTCACTAAAGACAATACTGTTCCATTCCTGATCCCAGAGTGACCGCTGTCTGCACCACTCAAGGCGATTACGTCGGTGTTCTCGAGTTAAAGGGAGGACCCAGTGTGGCCGGTATGAAAACAAGCCAAAACTTCTCATTCGTTGGTAAACACTTCGCATGCCAATAGGTCTTCCGTGTTCTGCAAACCATTCATTTGCAATGGACCTGGTAGTGGAGAAACGGTTCCTTAAGGCCAATAATCTTAGGTGGCGATCTTCACGGTCTGTTGTTCTACGGCGGCGTCCAGTGCCCCTTGCTCTTTGCGTACGGCCTTCTCGAAGCCATGCCTGACAACACCTAACCACAGTGTCTACACTTCTTTGCACTCTAACTGCAATTGCCCGAAAAGAAAGTCCAGCTTCCCGAAGTCCCACTATACGGCCCCTATCAAACTCACTAAGTTGACGAAATCGTACAGGTCTCCGTACTCTAGGCATCGTAACCGATCGTAAAGGATGTCAAGAACCAAAATCCGCCAACGTTGATTCTTTACTGCGGCTGAAATATTCATTTTTAGAGCGTTAGTGAATTAAAAAAAGCAGTATAAAAACCGGAATGTCCAACTGATAAGGCTGAAAATTTTTTCACTTGTTATTTACAGTAAGATAAATACATTCACCAACTTTTATTTAAATAAAACTATTTAAACTGGGTGTTCGGATTTATATGTCACTTAGTATATATTATTTTTTTTTGATCTTAGTATATTTATACGCTCCCCACACCTGTAATTCTACATACCTGTATAGCTATATTTCACACATACATTTGACTCCAAAACTTAGAATGATGGAGAAACATTGTTGATCAGGGTACTCCTGCTTATCTAAGCGCACCACCTGGCGAAAAAGCTCGGCTTATATATGTATCGATACTGGACGCAAAAAACATACGAACGTTGCACGAAACGAAGGATAACTCGCTGCAGGATGTGGAAAGGGACAACGTTGCCACATGGTCGGTAATTATACCAGTAGGGCGGCAGAGAAGTTTATGGACTCATTGTATGGACCTGTTTGACTGACTTAATACGTTTAATGTCTATGTTGTGCATGTCCCTAAGTCAATTTTTTCTCAAAGGATTTAAATTGCGCTGAACTTAATCCTTTATGATTTGATGACGGCATATGAAGTACAGAGTCAACCCACTTGACGCCATTTTGATTATTAATAATAAATGATTATTTACTGCAATATGTGAATATAGAAACTATTTAAAAACGGAAATTACACAGGCCTGCGAAATTTAACTTTCATTTTTCCCTTAAAACGGTTGTATTCTTTTTGAATACCTATGCATGTGTGAAATCAAAATACTTGTACAGCTTTGTTTCTCCCTAGCATGCCGAGAGTTATTTTTATTCAAGACATTTTTTAGACTTTTCAACAACTTTCATAAAGAACAAAAATATAAAACTAAATTTTTATCTAAAAAACCAACAGTAGTAGTCACAAATAATACCTATATCAAAAAAGACTAATTGCATAATTTTCTACTCTCTTCAAAATTCCTGTTCAATCTGTGCGTCTTACGTTTTCTCTCCGGTTCACCTCTCTTCAACATTCAGCAATAGTCTGCTGTTATGCCCCACGGTATCCCATGGGTGTTTAGGCCTTAGGCCTTCGTGGTAGTTGGAGTATAAAAAAAATTGTGTAACAACTGCCTTGGTATATGCTCTCTATAGCTTTAATAGGAGAAATATAGGAATGTAGAAGATGTATATTATTCACCATATTTTCATAATCGGCTGGCGACTTGCATTAGCCTCCTATCACAGGGCAAACGAAAATTCCCTTTTTGATCTTTGCACCCGAGGGTCTATTTGGGTTTTTTTATATATCGAAGCAGCCGCGCAGGCAGAAGCCTAAATGCCGGAACACCGCGGCTGCTATGATGATCCCAAAGAAATTTTGTTAATACGATTTTTGAACTGCCTAAGGTTAATAGAACTTGGAAAAGCTTCCTCTTGTAGATTGTTCCACAATCTCGACACCCTCGGGACAGAATAGCGGTCGTATCGGCCAGTTCTAGATGTACGAAGTTCGACACGGTTAGGATGGCACGCCAAAGTCAAACGGGTCTGTCTGGCAGGCACATCGCGCGGTGGCATCATGGAAGAGAGCTCTGAGGAGCAAAGTCCGTTGGTGTAACGGTAAAAAAGAGCTAGATCGCCGACAGCTCGCCGGTGCGAAAGAGTCCCAAGACTGTCTGTTAGAGAAGAGTCATGGATCAGTCGGTCCGCCCTCCTCTGGTCAGCATCGAGCATGGATAATGTAGTCGGGGCGGCAGCACCCCAATCGTGTGAGCAATACTCGAGGCCAGGCCTTATCTGGGCCTTGTATAGAGTGAGAAGGTCATGCGGAGAAAAGTACTGCTTAGCCCTAAACAAATAGCCAAGCTTTTTCCCAGCAGCTGCAGCTATTGACGAGATGTGTTCGTGCCAGATCAGGTCCTCGGTGATCTGGACTCCGACCAGCCGAAATGAATGGCTCTTTGTCAGAACTCGGCCATCCATCAAAACCGGGTGAGCGCAGGGACGCTTTTTGTTCGTCAAAGTACAGTACTGTGTTTTGGAAGCATTGAACGGTACAAGATTGTTGCGTCCCCAAGCAGTGATAGCCTCCAGGTCTCTTGTCAGAGAGGAAGTCATCGCTAGTCTTCTTTTTTCCAACTCAGCGGCGTGGTTTTCGGGACAATTTTTTTTGCGTAAAAGAGCAGGAACAGTTTTCTAATATCTAATAACATGATTGAGTCGACTTAATCCTAAATGAACCAATAAGTAATTTTTTAAAAATATCTGTGATGAAATATTTAATTTTTTTTTTCGTAACTCAATACCACATACCTACCCAAATTACCAATTCATTTTTAAGGGGAAAACCGTCAAAGCCCTGTGATATTGATGTTAGTTGGATTTATGTATCTCGTTATTTTAATAAATTGCGGTATTTGAAAATAAATGGGAAACAAATGATGTGTCAGCGTACCTAGCATCTTCCATCTTTGTCAGACTCTATCATGTAGCGGCAACGTTCCTATCCTATGCTCCATTTCGTGATACACATTTTGCGTCGGATGTTTTTGAAAGTGTTGCCAAACCTTAAGGATACTCTCAGATATGCTATAATTCAAGGTTAAATCAAATTAAATGTAATACTATATAATAGTGGTGGAATTGAGAGATCTTGATCTTGAGACACATAGCTGTGCTCGGCCTTTAATGACATACTTCTCTACCAAGGTACGCAATGTATTTACTTACCCTGTCCTTAGAATTCGACTCTAATCTGACGTGGTTTGGCAGATTTATTCGGTGGAAAATGCAGAGGATATAAGTAAATTCTCCTTCGATGTAC